TGTTTCATTCTTAGTTTGACAATTTCACGAGCCTTTACTATTCATTCATTTAACTGGGATTATATTGCAGTATCGGCCTTTATGAACAAGGACGTTCAAGTTTAGGACAAATCAAGTAGTAAAAGTTGCAAATGCGAGAAATATCGTGTCATTCAGTTATTTTTACAAAAAATTGTTTTATTTCTTAAACAAACAGTAAATATTTTTTAATTAACACGTAGGGGACGTTGTGTATGTGCGATAGAAAAATATTTGTCACAATTCTCTCTACCAAAAATAAAGTTACTTATATTGTAGTAGTTTTTTTTGCAAACTCGTGCAATTAATTTGACCACGTCAATTACAACATAATTTGTTGCACAAACATATTTTCCATCAATAATTTTGTGTCTTCTCGAACGTGTGAGATTGTTAAGCAAATTTTCGTTTTTTTTTTACCCACAATCGAACGAGCATTGCAACAAGAATATGCTTCTGGTAAATTTGACGTGGAAATAATGATTGGTTTGTTAAACACGACGTTTACGTAGAAACAGTTTAAGTAAAGTCTCTCTTTATGAAAGAACGCCGTTTCAAATAGATACATATATATGGATCATTATATGCTGTTTTAATTTCAATGCTATCGTGAAGGCATTCGCATAAATGAAACAACATAATGTGCGAACTTACTGTGGTCAATCCAAACCTGTAAAACCGGCTAAGACGGCTTAGCAGAGCGTAATGGCGGCTTGTTGCCGAGAAACTCGTTCGTTCTGACCGTCGAAAAGTTTCAATGGTAATACTGTACGATCGCAGTCTTTTTCGCAAAATGTGAGCTTGTATTATGGCAACATGGCTGGCATTATATATCGGCCGAACGTTATTGGGTTTCAACATCGTTGAAGCTAAATGAAAACTAAAATAGTGTTATCCCATTTTACATGTCTGTATAAAATTAAAATGCATAACTTTATATGGGGTAATTCTATATATACATATATATATATATTTTGTTTTACAAACGCTTCGTTTGCAGCAGACAACAAATGTGTCTCAATATTTTTACAGCGAGAAAGTCACGTTCTCTCTAAATAATTGCCACGAAATCGAGTTATTTTGACACTTTATATTCCGTATGAATGTGTTCACGACTGCTTTATGGAAGGAGCCGGGAGAACGTTGATAAATATTTCGGCGCATAATTTTTCGTTTCGGTCGGCTGAGAGGAGAGAAATGAGAGTTTTTCTTCCTCTCTCTCTCTCTCTCTTCCACCTTGTTCTTCATTCCTCTTACCTGCCTACCGTCGTGAAGGAATCCGAGCGCAACCGACAAACGACGATCGTCGATTGTACACGTCGGAGAAGTCGAGGCGCAAGTCGATCCAGGTGCATTCTCCGCTGCAGGGCTGCGGGAAACCGCAAACACCGATGCAGCAGCGGCAGCTTGCGCACGAAAGAAAGAACGAACGAACGAGCACAAGGGCGTGTAAAGAAGGGACGCGGGAGGCGAACACACCGCAGCCCGGGGAACAAGGAAGACGATGGGGGAGAAGGAGGACGCGGGTCGCAGAAACAAAAGCGTATATAATCCGGTGTGTGTGTGTGTGTGTATGCCATCCGGAGAAATACAAAAGATGAGATAAATATCTAAAATGTGTTAAGCACGGACTTTTAATGAATCAGAGGAGAGCTAATTTTCATCTCGAAAGCGCCGTGTGATGCATTAAAACCGCTTATTCATCGCTTCTGAAATTTAATATGACAATGGTCCGCGCTTGGGTCCTCTCTCCGCCTTTCTCGTCTATCGGTTCTTTCCGACCGATCGGTCGTGTCTAAATTTCGACGCCCGCTTTCAAATTCTTGTTCCACCACATGTTGCGCGTGCCGATATAAATACGTTGATTTTACGAGATAAAAATATCAACGCGATACAAAAGACTAACAGTCAGATCATTAAAACGAGAGATGGGATAAATAAACTTTTTTTTGATCGTTAAAAGAAGAGATGAGACAAATGAGCACCGAATATATTTAAATATTCTAAACGCCGATGGAAATTATGCGAAGTATACATTACGGCACGAAAGATATTGAATATCGTCTGATTTATTAATCAGAGTTATTTTTTCCTGCTCATTGTGGTGGACGGATTGTTTATCTTTAAACCGCCGCCGTTCGGAACCACGGCCATATCTTCGTGCTGATTTCGCTGCGCTAACAGGTTCCACGGTCAGTCGGAGACGGCAAATTAGCCGCTGGACCGAGCGAGCTAAGAAGAGAGGGACAGAGAGAGAGAGAGCAGGCAGATGCGAGATTCTTGGCAGGGTCAAACCTCCCGGCCATCTTCTTGGTGCCGCTTATGCCCTCGCTTCCCCGCTTCTGTTGCCTGCTGCTCCTTACGGCTTCTACTTTCCTCTCTCTCCCCTTTGCTCCTTCGCCCCTCTGTCTCTTGGCAAAAAATCAACGTGTATGTGCACACAAAGACTGGAATAAAAGAACGACGTAGATTGAGAAGGTTGAAGAAGAGGAGGGTGGAGTTTATACGCAGGTCGGCAGGTAGGAAAGATACGCGGCAACCGGTTCTCCCCCTTCTGTAGCCACCGCGGGCGCACGCAGGTTCCCGAACCGGTCCAGGCGCGATCATCCCGGCTCGACGATCGCGTGTTGTTCGCGTGGCCGGACGCACCCGAAGATCGGCGGAAGCGCCCGAGCTCAAACATTACACAAATTGCGCCATTATGTGTAATGGGACTAGAAAAAATGGCGAATAGATCGTGCCGGATGATGAGCGAAGAGCTTGGTAGTGGTATCACTCCGTGAAGAATCGGTAGAAATTGCACGGAAGAATTAGATTCTTTTTTATGTAAAAAATTCTCTTTCGCAAATATATATAGCTTTAAAATATATCCAGTTTTGCGTAATTTTATGCGACTCTAATAAGAGGTAAAAGAGAGTGAGTTCAAAATATAAAAAATATTCTATTTTTCATATATTCAGAGATATATTGCGAAGTTTTGTATATCTCCTCGCTATTTTCAAACCTTTCTTTAAATAATGACAATTTTTTATCAAACAATTGAATACATCTCTCTCTCTCTCTCTAATTCTCTCTGTCTCTCTTTGGATGGATATAAATCTTTCTTGTCGGTTAAGCCGTTTGAAAAATACATACATTGTACACGTGCATTCAGACCTGTCTATGTTTGCAGAATTTAAAGGCTATTCATCCGTCGAGAGTAGGGTTTTTTTTTATTTAACTATATATAATACGAGAAGCGCGCGCGGCAGCATCTCGCGACGTATCATCTCGTCGATACTTCGTACGCGGCGCCTCACCGTAATTTTCTGCAATATAGTGCCATATCCTCTCGCTGATGTATTGTAACCGGTATCCTATCGAATCGAGCAGGTGGCTGGATAGGCTCCCTTATATTTTGACGATTAGTTCTGGACCGAGCTTCTTCTTGAAGGAGGACGAGATCCGCTCTGCCACAACACCTTTCTCTTAGCCAGGGCCGCGCACTGCGATATCATGTGCATTGCTTCATAAATATATAAGTATGTACATAATACAAAAATATAACAGAAACATGTTTAACTTCCACAAAATATTCACGTGCTTTATAAAATAAACAAAAATTGTGTGTGTGTGTGCATTAGCTTGAAAGCAACATACTTTTAGTTTGATCGAAATCGCATGACACTGTAGAATATCTTTTGGATTTAGTTATCTCTTAATTTTCTTTATTTCTTTACGATTATTTTATATCATATATTTTACAGTTAATTAAAAAACTTGTATATAAAACTCTCTAGAAACAAGTTGCTTTGTATATTGCTTCGAAAATTTATACGTTACTCTAAAATCGTTTTGATAAATTGTTGTGTAAAACACGATAGAGTTTTTCAGAAAGAGATTCCGTGTTAAAAAATGATTAAAAATCATTAAAAACAAACGTACTAATTAGAAGTTTATTTGACGAAGAAGATTGTTCGATGTGTCTTCGTGGATTTGCTCTTGGTATCGGCTGCGTCCCTGGAAATCGAGACAGCCGGTCATCCTGGTTGGCCGCCGGGTCGGCCGGACCCCGACGTCGACGTAGCCTGTGCGTGCACTTGCCGCGAGGGAAAGGTGGATGGCCGCGACCTTGATGCGCGTGGTTCTCGCGTGCCCGAACCTTCACGAAGTTCCACGAGAACGGACGAAGCAGGCGCGACCAGCCGACCACGACCGACGCCTGTACACGGTTGTTAAATTACCTCCTCGCGCTCTACCTCCGTCTTCTCTATCATCCGGACTTTTCCTTTAGCGTCCCTTTTAGCGTTCTATCCTCTTCTCTACACGTCGCGCGCGGCTCATCTTTTTCTTGGCTCTTCTTGGCGGCACTCACACGCGTGCACCATCCCGCTCACGTAGATGAGATCTCACGGAAGCTGGAATGACTATCGTAATACTTCGAGCCGTATCATCTCGCATCGCCGAAGATATTGTACAGGCTTGATAAATATTGCCGGATTTTGATAGGAATAAATTAAAATCGAGACCTCATATGACAGAGCAAAATCAAAATTTATAATGCAAAACAATTTTTACTGCTGCTATATTATAAATAAATAGATACGATACAGTAGTAAATTACAATAAAAATAAAAGAGCAAACTATGATACATGTATATCTGCCTATATAATGTCAATAAGAATTATGTGTAAGATATTTTTAATTTTTATAACGCTTACCAAAAAAAAAAAAAAAAATAGAAGGTAATTCGAAATCTGGTTATCTTTTTTGTCTATTTATAATGGTTCATCGAACAACTCGTGTTGAAACAAAAGATTTTTATTTCGCATCAGAAACCGAGTCCCTAAGTTTATTTGCGATACAGATTTAAGCCTACGGCACACAACGCTTTTCTTTTATATTGAATCACATACGAACATTACGACGATTTCGCAATTCTTGATTTCCAAATCACGATTGGTCAATTTTAGCGCTTTCACATAATCTAATACGAAAAAAAGCATCAGTATGCCGCAGGCTTTAATATATAGTGATGATTGATGAATCCGTACAATCTGCTCGTATGTATGATCGACGAGGATACTGTAAGCTTAAGAAAAGTGCCGTCTACACGTTACGAAGAACTAATCCTAGAACGTTGTATTTCCCGTCTAAGTTTGTTGGTTCTGCTCGTTCTCGAGCTAGTTCTATGACGGAACCGGTCTTTCGACTTAACTGACTAGTCATCCGAGGTAACACCAGTGTTTCTCAATGTACCATTTATAATACGCGAAATAAAGATATATATGTATATATATATACATATATCGCAGGAATATTTTGTGAATTCGAATTTTACGGCAAAATTTGCCACCTAGAACAACAATTGTAAGAATGTTAAAAACTGTACAATTCCTCAAAATTTCTCGAATTTTTAATCACAATATAAGAAACTTGCGGCGTTTACGCTTTGCATCTATCCACATATATATTTATACATATGTATAATTTGAAATGTTACATATATACATGTATTTTGTAGTACAGACTTATTTACATTTCGTTTTTCAAAACTGACACGTGAATGACAAATGTTTATGAGCAAATAACACAACACACATGCAAAATAGGCCAAGAAAATAAAATATCATACATATAGAAATAAAAAAATTATATTTCCTATTTTAATAACTTTTCTTTTTTCTTGATTTTACTTTTATAAATACTTTTTTTGTTATTTATAACATTCATTGTATTGCACGAATTAATTATATTACTCAACATAATATAATATAAATATGTAATAGTTATTTACTTTTCATCAAGTTTCGACGATGTGGACACGAGCGTGGAAATTTCTTGGATATGGCTCATTTCTCCTTTAATACGCTTTTCCGATCCTGAAACTTTCTCTTCGCTGCAATCCTTCGTACTATCGGATGTTTCTTCTGGTATTTCTTCTATAGAAAATGTTTTTTCTGTTTCCAAAATCATAATGTTTACATTACACATAATCTTATATACACAACATCAAACTAAATTCAGTAAACATGAACATCTTACCATCCATAATCTTGAGAATTTTTTCATGCTCTCCATCGCCTTTTTCATAAGTGAAACTATCCTCCATTTCCTCTTCACTTCCAACGTGCAGGTATGACATTGTACATATGAACGTTATGAAAAACAAAATTGTAGAGGTCCCAATACCGGCCGTTAAAATTGGCCAATTAAACATCCAATAACGTAGTCCCGATAAATGAGCATTAATCGTAAGAGTAGCTGAATAGAGCTCTATATCTTTTGATTGAATTTCGATATACATTTTCGTTACTGGTCGATTCTGAAAAAAAAAACACATAGAAGAATAATTTTATATTTGTCACACATCTCTCAAAAACGATATCTAAATTTATCTAAAATTCTATAGTAACAGCAGCACTGTTACACACACACACACACACACACACACATATACATACCTGATCCTCTTCAAAGTTATTGAATAATTCAAGAATAACATCTTGCTTTTCTTCAGTATTACCAAAAATCATCATTGGTGAATATATGAGAGTTGTAATGGTATGTAATAAAGTACTACGATAGTGCAACATAGCTGATCTACAGGAATGCTCCAGAATATTTCCACTACTGCTTTGCATTTTGGCACAAACCATAAACATACCTAAAAAACAAAACAAAATCTCTTATAGAGGATATGTTAACATATATATATTTCTTGTGAACGTACACATATGATTAAAACTTTACCGAGCTCTTTGTTTCTTGGAGATTCAGGCATTTCCAAATGTAAATTTACTTTGTATGGTTGTCCTACCATCAGAACCTGTTGTTTGTGAGTCAGCTTCACAACAGCACTTGGAAAGCTACAAATACCTTTTTGTTTCTCGCATGTTCTGAAAACAAAAAAAGAAATGTCAATAATATTAAAGGCAAAGAAAAGAAATATCTATTCAATTCAACAGTTGTGTAAATATGAATTATTATATCTTAGGAGATACTATTGTACTCTCTACATATTATTTTTCTTGTTATAGATGATATCTTGACCTTCGATCAACAATCCCTTTCCTTTGCTGACTTCTTCAACACTTTTGAATTGAATGATACAACACAACACCAAAATGAATCAACACATATAAAGTAGAAAAATAAAAGAACTCACGTGAATTGTAAGTGCACAGGGCGCACATGCGACATGCTAGGCATGTAGGTGTAATAAAAAGTTATATAAAGAAATATGGACAACCAAATTACAATAATAGCGATAGCAGCAATAACACCAATACGAAAAACTGTGTGTCTAGCCGACTGTACGCTTTCTTCAGTTGTTTTTCTTATGCTGAGCCACTTTGAAGCGATTTCGTGTAATAACCTCGAAACGATCATTTCTGCGCGATTATTTTCCGAAATCACACAACAAATTGTAATTAGTTTGAACGATCTCTGTTCCTTATTTATTAGTTGACTTTGTATAACAACAAAATAAATGTCAATCACTTCTGGCTAAATTCTTTCTTGTTCCATTATTTCACTTTTATTTCAAACGTACAGAATGTCGGTGGATTATCTGCGATGGATTATGATGCTGAGCTCAAGTGCTGTCGATGAGAGACTGAGAGACGTTCGAATATCGATGAATCATGTTTTCGACCTTACAAGGAGATAGCAAGTATCTCCGAAACTCTCGATATCAACAAAACGTTTTTGTGTCTTCGCGCTTTTCGTAAACATCGAGAGAAGGTTATACAAGTATAAGTTCAAGCATTCGAGATACGTTGATAATTCGTTGAGAAATCCTACAGAGGTCGAGACAGATCGAAACCTATCTTGAACTCGACCCTGCGAGTTGTCCTTTGAATAAGTGACGATCTCCACAGATGGCGACAGCATCTGAAATATCTACGTCAGCAATCGAACGCAGATTAGCGCGAAGATTTGTATTTTACTTAAGCGAAAACTCGAGATTTCTTAAAAAAATTATCCGCTATTATTCTTTATCTTATAATTAGTATTTTATAAATATGGATTTTCAAATCGACTGTATGTTATACAGTTTATAATTATATATAAACTATATGTATATATAAGGTGATATCCACACACACAGTTGTACAAATCAGAATACAGTATATCAAAATATTAACATCTTCTTCCTCGATTCTTATATTATTTATACTGAGTAATGTACTTTTATAAAAAGTTTTATTTCAAAAATTTTTAAATCTTATAAACTAATGTTTGAATTTCCTCCAGTACCCAAGGAGAACAAGAAGTCACAAATGACATCAAAACGATTAAATTCAAACTAATGTCAAACTGATAACAAATGACGAATTTCGCAACTTCTTGTTTCTCCTTGGGTATTGTGTAATGTTTTGAATTGAAGCAAGAACACGCAAGAGAAAGGAAAACGGATATATTGAAATGTAATTGCTTTATTGAGCCAAGGATATATAATTATGTTTAATTACGAATGTAGAAATCGCGTGCGAGAATTAAACAACATTATAATTTTATACAAAATGTATTTTATTAATCTATTCACTATACACCAAGTATCCTGTAGAAGGATATTAATATTTTCATGAGTCACACCATTGACACTTCCGATAATGTAGATTAATATAATTGAAAACACCGCTGAAAGAAATAAACATAATATCTTTTACTTATTTTTTTATGTTACAATTCACCCGGAAAAAAATTTATATATGGAAAAATTTTATATTTGCTTACGTATAACTATATAGAATCATATATGAGAGATCGTCTCAATATTATTACATAATTATATATGTAGTATATATATATATAGTATATATATGTAGTATACATACATGACACATAATATATATACACATTACATAAGTATTTAAAATCAGATATCGAATTTGTTCACGTAGCAGGATGTTTTATCACGGGCATAAAATAAACCTGAAGAGTTTTAAAATGTTACATTACCTATTATTGAACTTTATGATGAACTTTCGCACTCTGTAGTTCTACTTTGATTAATGTTATCGTTACTCTCTTTCTTCGTTGTGTCAGGCGAATAATTACGAAATAGACTCTCCTCCTCTCGGAAATAATCCCGTAGTTGATCTAACTTTTTGGAATGTTCTTCTGTAAATTGAAAAGTATCAACGTTTGTACACAACCTAAACAATAAATTCTAATAAAAATGTATTGTGTCTCTTACGTAGTTTTTAGAAATATTCAATTATGTAATACACATTATAGAACAAATCATACACATTAATATGTGCTATTTTTTTAAGTTATTCGTGTTTAAATATGTTGTCTTTTTATTCCATTAAAGTTAAATTAACTAATTGAACGATAGAAATTAACTTTGTAAAATACGCGCGAAAATTTATACTTAATTAATCAAACACAATATTT